CTTATTTATCTGCATAATATGCTCATGAAGAATTTATGCACCCAGTTAGTATAATTGTTGCTGCTAAAATTAAGCAAACAAAAATGGATTTCTTTGTTGCCAGTCAGCTGAAACTGCCAGGGGATAAGGATTGAGTTATAAAATCCCTAAATCAGAAACAAAGGAGGACCACCCCTCAGATGAAGTGAAGTTTACCATTCAAAGTCTGAGTTGGTCTCAGAAAGTGATATTATACCAAAGACATGTGACCGCACTTGGCAAGCCAGGAGCTGTCCTCTAAGAAGTAGGACAATGATTTATTAAATAAAATATTCAGTTCAAAGATTAGTTGAATCAATCATGGGGTTATTCTTTGTGTAATGTCCCTTTTCTACTACATGAATAATTACAACATAAAACTTAAAGGAATTTGGAGACTTTACCCAAGCCTTGAGCAGGCTTGGGCTATAACTTTCTCCATTCTATTGCTGGTGGCAACATATTCATATTCATATTAGTAAAGTTGGAAGGGACCTTGGAGGTCATCTAGTCCAACCCCCTGCTCGGGCAGGACTGCTATCATGTCCCCCCTTGTCCTTCTCTTCATTTCTTGTCCTTCTCATTTCTGAATGAATAAATTATTTAGCCTACTTCTGAATTAATTTGGTCCTGATGACAGAGGTGCATTCATTAGGAAGAAATGAAAAATAGAATGAAACTTCATTTTTTTCTGAAACAAAGGACTGAAAGATGGGACCAAGATTCTTGGACATCCAGCTTCCATTCACCCTTGCTGGTGGGGAGGGAGAATGCCTTCGTTTCATAAATGACAACTAGAGAAGCCATTCCTGTGGCTCTCATCATTCGATTTGCCCAAAATGCATCATTCTAGGAAAATGATGGCTTCCATTGGGGATTTTTCTGTTGCCATGGTATCATCAATGTCACGGAAGGAAGTCAGAATAATAATTCACAAAAGAACCAGTAAAAACAAGTGGCATGATGAAAGGACCACAAGTCCAAGAAAGACAGTATGAGAACAGGTTAAATCATGACAATAAATGGAGCCTCAAAATCAAATCAATTTGCACAGTTCCAGCTTCCAGCTCAACTGGTTCTTCCCCCCCCCCCCCAAATGGCAGGAAATAAAAATTTAGCAGTCCAAGGCTTTTCAGAGGCTATCACAAAAAATCAGTTCACTGGTTGTTCATCTCTAAATTACACGGGTGGTGGAGATGTACTTTACTTAGTTCTGTAATTCAGTTGACTTCTCTAATTCAACAACCTCATCTACAGAAACATTTTTAACCAGGCATACATTCCTATACCTGCTGCAAGTCTAAATGTTTGATGAGAAGAGCATGTAGATACTTCCCTAAAGTCTACAGGAGGGGGAGTTACACCTTCTGTTGCAAGCCTGTATACTTTCATGCTTAAAATTTACTACCTCGAAGTGATGTAAATAACACAGCAATATTTGTCAAAGGAAGAAAACACATATTACTCTCCGTGTTTGCAGTTGTTCTTTCACGGAGTCAAGATATTTTAAAGAGACATTTGCAGAAAAAAGCAAAATATGATATCCTTTTGATTCAAAATGACATCTTACAATGCTATCAAGTAAGTTTCCATCCTCTGCTTTAAAGTGCTCAGTTGCATTTCAGAAACAAACAGAAATTTAGGCAGATAATAGACATGTTCAAAGTAAAATGCTATTCTGTAAATCCTACCAGTGTCTGGAAGGTGGCAGATTAAAAGTTTTATTAATTTGGAATTAAAGCCTGTCTACACATAAAAACAAATTAGTTCTGGAAACCTGTCACCTTGAGATTTTAAAAAAGTGTACTTTGAAAGTGTGGAGATTCGTACGAGGGATTCATACTTCTTTGGCTTTTGTCAATAGGCAAGTTTCAGATGCTTCTGGCAGTTGTTTAAATGTATAATGGATGCACATTAATGAATATTAATTAGTTAACTTCACAAATTTGAGAGTGTTGAACTAGCATCTACTCCAAAACATGATAGCCTTTTATGTAAATGATGCCATTGGATTAAGCTTGGCTGCTTGCTATTGTTTTCTAAAATGGATTCAAATGAAGCAAACAAAACAAAATATGACCAGGCTTTTTTTTTTTTTCAAACAGTGCATGAATGGGATCCAGAATATGTGGTGGGATATGAGAATCTCTAAATCTCATCTTCCTGTGCCAAGATGGAAGTCTACAAGATGTTTAGAAAACATCCATCTCCTCTATCCATGTAGAACCGTGCAGAGATGACCTTAAGCCCAGAAAACAGGAAGGCATGAGAAAGAAACTAAAGGTTGATCTGTTTTGACTCTCTTTGGTATAAGAGAAAGAGAAACAGTATTGGGCTTTCAAGACTCTGTTATTGCAGCCTATATCAGTGTATTAAGATTAAAATATTTTCAAGTACTGTATGGGCTAAGAAGCTTAGAGGTAAAATAAGATACACAGAGGTAAAATAAGATAAAATAAGGTACTAGTGAATAACTGTAACCACTTGTCTCTGAATGAGGTTAGAGTTGTTAGTACATCTCACAACATAAAACAGAGTAGCTTCTCATCATAAATATTTGTACACCTGAAAAATTCTTATAAATGGCTCAAGTTGCCTCTGTCTAGCACTACCAGTTCCCTAGTTCATATATATTTGTACCAATTGCCTTTTTAGAGTACTCCAACTTTAGGAAAAGCTTTTTCAATAGAAAGAGGGTTGTAGGAAAAGGATAAGAAAAGTGCTTTCTCTTGCTTGAATGCCATTATTTACCTTAATGTTTGCTTCCTTTCTCTGTAAGTTTCTCATTCACAGCCTTACATGTAACTTTAACCATGTAACTCAACATTAGTGAGGATCTGATGAGCACATTCAGAAATAGAAACATATATTTATGAGTGTTGGATGGTCCCTGCTTTAAAGATCTGCATTTATTTATTTCAGTAATTGAGAGAAAATGATGGGTCTTATGTCTTTTATATTGAATGATCACCAACGATCATTTTAAGAGATAGCTGTCCACTCCTTATGAGTAGGACTAAGTAGCCCTTGAAAATGATTAGTGCAGAAAATGAGCATTAATTCTCATCAAGTCTTTTCATCAGATATGGGAAGTACACTCCTTAGGGAGGGAGAATAATAAAAGGAGAAATGTGTGACTACATGTAGAGAGAAAAGGGAGTGGCCTTGTGGGAAAGGGATAAGAATGACTACCAAGGAAATGGTCAGATTAAGGACAGCTGAGTCTATCAATGGCCCAGGCTGTGGACTCAGATTCTGAGTCTGAAGCTGAAGAAACTGCTCCAGCTGAGCCTGTGTATCATCAACTGCAGGAAGAACAAAGCCAGGCTCACATGAGGTTGATCAATCACAAGACCCACCTGAACAGAGGGACCTGTCAGGATGACATAAGGCCTCCCAGTCTCCGCACCAAACAAGAGTAGAACAGAGGAAGTCTATTAGGGTGCCTGCCAAACAACAGAGTAAACATTCTGATTAGTGACAGCTGGCTGCAGCCTATATAAGAGACTTTCTTTATTTTTGTTCCCTTTTTTTAAAACAGCATTTAGCTTGTGTGTGATTCCTGTGTATGAATTCCACTCTTGAACCTTAGACCTTTGGGTTCTGTCTGACAACCTTGACCTGGCTTCAACCTTATCCTGGCTCCTGAATCTTGGACAGACTTTGGATGACTCTTCGTGTTCCAGAAGAACTCTGTATGTTCCTCTTTGAAAATAAATTTGCAAGCAAGCCTTTGCTTTGCTTTGATGTTTCTGGCTACAGTGCTAATTCTGTTGCTACATTGCTTGAAACTGATAAGCTCCCAAGAAGATGTGTGTGTGTGTTTGTGTCTGGAACCTGAAGGAGTCCAGAATCCAGGATAAGAATGTAATGAGTATAAATATTGCAGACAAACCTCTCCCTAGTGTATATGAAAATATAGATGGGGATGGAGTGCCTTCAGACAGACAAAATTGTGTTGATATAACATTGCAATAGAATTGAAAATGGCCTATATGACATTGATTTCCTGGGCTGATACTACTAGTAACCAGCAATAAAGGGTAGTTGGATGCTGCACATATGTTTTTACCTAAATGCGCTACTTGAGATGTGTAGACTGATAGGAAATTTTGGCTGAGTTTAATCTGGTAAACTATTTCCCCACCAGTGAATGTCTCCCCAATCAGATTATTTTACTTCTGTAGGGATGGAAGACAAGTATCAAGAATAGCTGGCTACTAACGGGCTGAAAGTAATGCAGAAACTCACTGCAAGACACTTAAACCTGCAGCTGATGAAATGCAAAGAACATATTCTACCTCTGGACAATGATCTGTCACTATTAACATTAATGCTATACATTGATTGTTTGGTACAAGGTGATAATCATTAGGTGACCCATCTATTGATACCAGAATTAATTGCTTTAAAATAAATCATGTAACATTTTAGAGATTTTCTTTGTATTTACCCATTGGGTCTTGTGATGTAATATAAGCTAGCTTTGATTTTGTTTTTAAAATGTCCTGTCAAAATTTCAATAAAGCAATTTTTGCTTATTGGAAAGCAACATTCAAATATCAATGTTCCACTAGTAACCATGGGCTATTGACCCATAAAATGTACATTAGGCACCTTTAGTGAGAATCCTATAAAATATGTCAATTTTACAATTTAGATGACTATAGTACCACATGCCTTTCCTTAAGCACTTTAGAAGGAATACATTTTAATGAGAATTCAACCCTTGCCCTTAATTTTGCTGTCACCTTCAATCTTGCAAACTTTTTTATATTCCATTTCTGAAAGGCTTGCATAATTAAAGCACTATTAGAATTATAAGGGCCTCACAGTTTGTTGCCTTTTCTTTTTATGGCCCATAGAGATTCATTCATGGAGCAATTGACAGCTAAAACTAGGCACTGTTGTTTCACGACTTCGGACAGGACTGTATTTCTTTTTTTTTTTTTTTTTTTTTTTTATGAAATAATGGAACTTCATAAATGTAGCATGTTTATTGAGGTAATGGTTTTGTGAGCAAATAGTAAATACACTTTTTACTAATTATACATTTTTGATTATTTTATCCATTAGTTTTTGTACTTCTTTATGTCGTGTTTTTGCCCGACTGATACAGTCTTGAAGCTTTGCTTCTGTTATTGTCCTTCCACCTTTCCATCTAAAATGCATAGATCTTCTTTCATTATCATCTGTGAATTTTCAATGACATCAGCAATAAACTGACTAGCTGCCTGAGCCTCTTCGCATGGAGGTCCAGGTCGAAATCTTGATGAACAAAGTGGAGGAAGATCTACATTGGGAATGATATATCCTTTGTTACTGGAATCAACGGTGGGTGTTGCAAATTCTGCTTTTATGCCGCATATCACTGTAGTATTCCCTAACTTCACAAGTGCAGAGCCATCTGCAGTTGTAATTGAACCTATGTTGATAGTTGTGGTCCTAAATTCACCAAGGTCCCTTCCGTCAGGCCGACAATTTTCTTTTAAGAATCTTCTGTAATATTCCAAAGGTTCTACAGTTCTGAACGCGGCCGTTATGGTCGCCGTCATCGTCACTTCACTGGTTTCTTCGTTTAGCAACTGAGAGAGACTGAAAACAATCCAGTTGCGGAAGGCGCTACTAAATCGAGTCTGCGATATAACTAAAACTAGGAAAAGGTGATATGGCAAAGGCTTAATGGTCTGGCTCCAGGATTCTCCTTCCAAAGAGGGTTTCCATTGCTGGGGAAAAAACAAAGGAAGGGGGATTTTATCTCCATGAATTTCTTCCTTCCAGCAGAAAGTGGGGAGAACAATTTGGTGAGAAGCCTTGTGTCCCTTTTCTGCACCTTCTATGCTCTATGACAGTGTTTCCCAAACTTGACAATTTTAAGGCATGTGGACTTCAACTCCCAGAATTCCACAGCCAGCAACGCTGGCTGTGGAATTCTGGGAGTTGAAGTCCTCATGCCTTAAAATTGTCAAGTTTGGGAAACACTGCTCTATGAGGCAATGAGCACCAAGGCTTAGACAGGAGGTGCAAATCAATATAACCTTTACCCAAGGAGAAGATGTAAAAGAGTATACATTTGCAATCTTCCAACCAATGGTCCACTTAGTGTTTAGAGTGAAGACAGGAACTACACAATGATGCAAGAGTAGATATATCATATGAGAGCATGAAGATTGTATCTCAAAAGATCAGAAAAGGAAAGGATTTAGAACAAGAAGTGAAAAAGATGGTACAGGTGTGAGGTGCGGTCAATCATTTATAGAGTAAATGATGTTTCCCTACATTATTCAGATGAAGTTCTTGGTAGCATGGGTTCATCCACCTCTAGCTTGGACCCATAATTAACTTGTCCTTTTCAGGAAACCAGGAGACATTCGTGTGGCAAGGTTCAGGAGGTGATTAAAAATTACAAGAATGGAAGAGATGGTGCCCCCCCCATCTTGAAGTAGGTGGTGGTGTGCCCCTGATGAAAAGGCAGCAAATAATCCAACCCATTTGGATTTTTTTCTGATTTTAGATCAGGGGTCTTCAAACTTGGCCCTTTTATGACTTGTGGACTTCAACTCCCAGAATTCCTCAGCCAGGCATGCTGGCTGAGGAATTCTGGGAGTTGAAGTCCACAAATCATAAAAGGGCCAAGTTTGAAGACCCTTGTCGTAGATCTTCCCTTTCTGGAACATGAATGGCTTAGTTATTGGGGAGAAGAAAAGGAGGGGTAATGACATTCAGGTCTCTTCTCCATAAAATTCAACATCAGCATGAAGTGCTGGAATGGCCATCTATTATTTTGGGATGAGGCATCACAAATATCCTGATGATTCCCAATTATGCCTTATCATTCCAGATTAGACAGGAGATGCAGTAGAGATTCTTACTTAGTGTTTAGAGAAACTGGATGGAACAAAACAAGCTCAAATTGAACTGCTGTAAAATGGAGGTGCTGCTTCTTGCTCAAGTAATAGGTAGAAGCTGTGGCCAGGGGAGATTTTACCCAGCTTCGGTTGCATCCTTCTTAGACTGAAGTTTTTGTCACTAATATTTGTGCTATCATCCCATTCATCACATATCCAAACTACTGTTACACAGTACACATGAGGTTGCCTTTGAAGGTTCAGAAACTATAGTTAATCCAAATTGCATCAGCCCAACTATTGATGGAAACTACTATATTTATTTCTGACACAAAGCACCTGACAAGATGAAAACAATAAGGCATGTAGCTATTACTGTAAGTCACATACTCAATAACCCAGTAAGAGCTTCAGAAATGAAAGAAATCCTGGACTTTATTTGGATACTTGAGCTGGAGGTTGACATTACCTATGTTGTCGTTACTGCATGAGTTACCAGTTCAAAGTGCTGTTACTTACTTAAGTTCCTGCTTATCTGCAGAATCATCATTCCCAAATGGATTCAATCTGTCCTGTAACATTTTCTTGAAAGGTGGTACTCCACATCTTACAAGATACAAGATAAAGCAGTGGTTCTCAACCTTTCTAATGCCGTGACCCCATAATACAGTTCCCCATGTTGTGGTGACCCCCAAGTGGGTGTGGCCACCAGTAAGAGGAAGTAGGACAGCTAGGGAAAAGGGAAAAAATGGCGGACAGCATGGTTTGGCGACCCCCGTGAAATGGTCGTTCGACCCCAAATGGGGTCCCGACCCACAGGTTGAGAACCACTGAGATAAAGGGATGGGGAACCATAGTCAATGGTGGCACCAACTTTGTGGAACACTGTCTCACCTGAGGTTTGGTGACCCTCTCCATATGGACATTCCAGTTTTCTTTTGAGACCTATTTGAACAGCAAGGAGGATATCAGGTTGCTTTTTGGGACATACTTTTTGGGATATTCTTTGACATGGGAATTGTGGGGAGGGCTTTTTGTGGTAGTTATTTTTGTTGTTGTTTTAATTCTATATACTACCTTGAGTGAATCTGATCAGGCAGTATAAAAGGCAGTGTCAGTGAATAAATGTACTTGAAGCCTATTGATGACCTTAATGGAAAAATAAACATTCCAAATGTGAAAATTTGCAAATTAAAATGAAAGACCTGTTGAGTATGCACACAAGGCAATTCACTCCAGAACTGTATAAAGCTTTTACATCTGCTAATCTTGAACTGAAGTCCCTCTATGTATTCTGGTATGATAGAAACAGAAAGTTCTATTACATGCTGGATGTATGCTATGTCTTACTGATTATGTAACATGTCAAATGTTTACTTCAAACTAATATTGAAATAAATATATGGTTACAATCCCAGTTATAGGGAAAGGTAGATATAGGCAGTCCACATTTGTTTAATGAACATTCAAAGTTACCATTAAAAAAATGATTTGTGACCGTTTTTCACACTTACAACCATTGCAACATCCTTATTGTCATGTGATCAAAATTTAGACACTTGGCAACTGGCTCTTATTTATGATGGTTACAATGTCTCAGGGGTCATGTGATCACCTTTTGCAACCTTCTGACAAGCAAAGTCAATAGGAAAGCCAGATTCACTTAGCAACTACATAACAAAGGCAGTGATTTGCTTAACTGTGGCAAGAAAAATTATAAAATGGGGCAAAACTCACTTAACTGTCTGACTTTCGGGCTCAATTGTAGTCATAAGTTAAGGACTACTTGTATCATAAAATGAGTATTACTTCAAAACTGATTTATTTTACACTAAGTATGTTCTTATTCTAGTATCTTTAAGATTTCTAGCAGATTGATAGGTTATGAAAGAAGTTTTAACAGGAAAGACATACCACTGATTTCCTTTACCTAAATTATGACTGCCATGCAATGTGAGAAGATTAACTTTCCTTACTTCCAGCTTTATCCCAGGTGTGTATTCTGACTTTTATTAACAATTAGCAAAGGCAGTCTCTGCATTAAGAAAAGTCATAATAGCTCTCTAACTTTTGGGGGTTTATATTATCAATAGAAATAATATATCTCCTATATTTCTTCGGAATGAATCAGGACATATCCTTTCAGTTTTAAAAAAATCTCATTTAATCTCTTTGCAGTAGCTGTAAAAAAAGTCCTTGTAATCTATATTCAGCAAAAAAAATGGATCTGTAAACTCTGGATATAATATGAAAGTTGAGCAGAGAACAATAATATGAAAGTTGAGCAAAAAGCAGGATTTTTTTTTTTTTTTTTGTAAATCCAAACCCCTTTTTTTGCAAATGAAAGGAATAAAAGTTTCTTACCATGATGAAGAAAAGTACTTGACATTGTTGAATCTCATTCATTACGTGAGTTAATAGTTTAATCAAAAGGTCTTGAAAAGTTTTATAATATAATGCAGGAAAATTGCCTGGTCCTACAGATTTATTCCACTTTAATTTCTGTATTGCTTCTTTTGTTTCATCTGCTGTAATTAATTTATGGAGAGCTTCCCTTGGTTGATTTTTGGCTTTTTCTTTTTCCCTTTCATATAGTAAAATAATAAAAAATACAGTGTGCTTCTTAGGGCTGTGCATGCTTTAAAAATGATTCAGAAGTACTTCAGAGGGACTGGAGGATATACATATTATCTCTTTGAGGCATGCACATATTGGTCTCTTTTTTTTCAACTTTGGCTAACTTTAAGAATCACTTTCAATATGCAGTTCTTTTAATGCTCTAAATGTGCAAAGGAGCCACATGTATTTTCAAGCTAATATGGAAACCTAAAAAAAGATGTGCTGCTTTAAAGAGGTATTGCATTTGTGTTTCCACACATTTTGAGACCCTTTTCTTCCTAATCTATTTGAAACATGCACAACTCTGTTAGCTATGATCCTCCAGTTAAAGGGTCAAAATAGTAGGGGAAAAGATACTTCATAGCACACATGGGTGTGCATATACAGTAGTCCTAGACCTATGGCCACAATTGAGCCCAAAATCTCTGTTGCTAAGTGAAACAGTTAAGTTAATTTTGTCTCATTTTACGATCTTTCTTACCACAGTTGTTAAGTGAATCACTGCAGTTGTTAAATAAGTAACATGGTGTTAAGTGAATCTGGCTTCCCCATTGACTTTGCTTGTCAGAAGGTCACAAAAGGCGATCACCTGACCCTGGGATATTGCAACTGTCATAAGTATGGGTCAGGTGCCCAGCACCTGAATTTTGATCACGTGACCATGGGGATGCTGCAACGGTCGTAAGTGTGAAAAAAAGTCATAAGTCGCTTTTTTCAGTGCTGTTATAACTTTGGACAGTCACTAAATGAACTGTTTTAAGTTGAGGACTGCTGGTACCTCTATCAGCAACTTGTTAAAGCAGCTACATCTGTCCTTGAGACTGAGTTGTACCTCCTGAGATTTCACCACAAAGTATTTCCTGACATTAAATGCTTTAAAATGCATGCACAAACTTTTAACAGCATTCACAAACTTTTATTCTTCATTAAAAATATAAAAGTCTTTGGATACCTCCTTTAATGAGAGGGGGGTTAAAATTCCACAGAGCTAAAAAGCGAAATGAGAATGTAATAAAAATTATTCTTTAATTATATCAGAAACCTCGCCGGGTACTAAAAACCTCCTCCTGGTCTTTATTCCTAAGCAAGCAGTGAGGCCTTTGGACTTTAAATTGTGGCATTAAATGGGGCAGGTCTCCCCTTGCCATCAGCTTTATTAGCATTTTGCAGGGAAGCTTTCCTCGGACGCCGAAGCT